GGTTTTAGTCGGTAGGTCCGAGGACACCTTCCTCGGGAATCCGACAGTACCCGATCGTACGGATGGCTGGGTGACTTTTGAAGATTTCCCTTCTTCCACAAAAACAAAAAATTTGTATTCTCTACATTTGACAGTCTGACACTTTCGTCCAGTTTGTTTCTATACTTAGTAAGTTCTTTTTTGTGTTCTACATTGTTATTATTATTGTAATTTTATTGTGTGTTTTGGCTATTGCATTCTATTTTTTTCATCTGTTTGTTTTATTGTTTAATTTGTTGCTGATACATAAATTTCGTTAATTGTTTAAATAGTGTTTTTTTGTTATTTTCATTTTAAATTTATGCCACACATGCGAAAGTTATGAAAACCCGAAAACTTACCCTTCCCTCCAACGCATAAATTCACCTTTTAGTAAAAAAAATTGTACAAGGACTTGAAATAAGTAAAAATACTCAAAAAAAAATAATTAAATTTCGGTGGCTGATCCTTAGTATACATATATATCTACGTGCTTTTACCTGAACAAAGGTATCAAGGGTTACCGCGGATATACCACCTGCTGTCAAACAGACAGGTCTCATCATTCTCATCATTATAATTCTCATTGAACTTTTGAAGGATTTGCTAGCGCCAGTCCAATCGTTTTCATATAAGGAGTAATGAATTTCCATCGACTAGTAATAAGAAAAAAAACATAATCAATTCACAACAAACAAGTATCTATTTCTGCTTTTGTAAAAATGAGTAGGTAACATTTGTCTAATAAATTACAGTAGAACCTCTATAACTCGAACATCAAGGGAGACGCCAAAAAAATTTAAGTTATAAGTTTTCCACTTATGAAGGATTTTGACTTAGGCGGATTTTGATTCGACTTGTAAAAGTTATGATTTGATGTACTTACATTGTCGGCAAATCCTTAAAGTCAATATCTTAGTTTTCTTCAAACTACAGACGTAATAAGTTTTAAATTATCGAGTTGTAAAGATTGTAGAATAAAACATTGCTATGTTCGAGATACAGAGGTCCAATTTAATTTTTCGAGTTATAGAGGGAAAATATGGACCGAAATGGCTTGCAGGGATTCACTAATTATTTCGACTAGGGAAGGGATCAAAATATTTTTTCGAGTTTTGGAGGTTCGACCTAAAGGGGTCTACTGTACTTTGTGTTAAAAAATATATTTTAATTTCTAATAAATGGTGAATGCGCCAGACAGTGAAAAAATTAAGAACGATATATATAATATTTATTTACCCAAACAGTTTATAGTCTTACTTATCCCAATTAAAATTGAAAATTATGTCTAGATATTGCATCTAATTTTAATGAAAACTAACCCTCGCACATTTGTATCAAATAAAATTGTAGGTACAAACTTTTTCTTGTAACATATTTAATTTAACATAAAAATATAAACCAATAAAAGAGACTTTTCTCAAAAAAAAAAACATTTCTTCTAGAAAATTCAATATCTTCCACAAAAAGTCTTCAAAAAATATATGAAATCATTACATAACTAGCAATTATCGTCACTTCACAAGCGAAATCTTCATTCAAGAAATTGAAACTATTAAAGACGGTATGGATAAGGTTAAGTGCTAATTGTACAGTCACATTTTTAGAGTAGCGTTGTTGTAGTGACGATGAGTGTGTCAAGAATAGGAGTCTTTTCAGTAGCTTACCAAGGACTGAAGAGTTCATCTTTTGCAAATTTAAATCTACCACTAAAAACTCCTATTTTTGAAGGTACACACTCTGTAAGCACACAAACACCTACTTTTACATAAATTAAGTATAATTGTTGGCAAACACTTACCGTCAATGTCAGTCGATTTCCAAAATAGCAGTAACAAAATATAGATATCAAAAAACTGATCAAAAACAGTATGGAATGAGCGAACATCACTCCACCGACACTCTAACAGAAAATTAATAATTATTATCAAAGTATTTACGAAGGAAACACAGGAAGTTAAAAAAAAGGGGGAGAGGCAAAATCAGGACTACTTGAAAGGTAATCTCATTTTACCTTACCCTAGTAAGTATAAGTAAGCAAACTGCAATAAGAATAATCGACGATGTAGCCTCAAACAAAAGGAATTTATTAAAAACCATTTCGGTCAAGTTACAGAATCTGAAATAAAAATAAAATAATTTTAGAGGTTTAATCCTAGCAAATTTATGCTTGTTTCTATATTATTAGAGTGAAACTTCCTTTAAGACGTCTAAGCAACGGCCCCTACTCGTCACCTAACTGTTTTTATGAAATATAAACCCCTTTCCTAGGCAGCATAAATTGTAAAAAAGTATGTATTATAGTTTACTACTAATAAAAAACATATAGAGATAGCATTAAATAAAATGGATGCGGTACTAACAAAACAGAACTGTATGAAAATAAATAAAAGTAAAATAAAAATGCTGGTATGCGAGAGACGAAAAAGTAGGGAAAGAGGGAATTCAAAGATAGGAGATAAAATTAGAAGAAGTGGGTGATTTCAGGTATCTAGGAAGTCAGATAAGTCAGGACGGAAGGAGTAGTAGGAATATAAAGCAGAGGATAGCGTAAGGTCGAGTCGCCTTCAATAAAAAGAAGCCACTTCTATGCTCGCGAAAGGTTAATTTAGAAATTCGAAAACGATTGTTCAATGTGTATGTTTGGAGAGCGGCGCTGTACGGATTTAAAACAAGGACAGTGGACGCGGAGGAAAAGAGAAGGTTAGAAGCGTTCGAAATGTGGTCTTAAAAAGGAATGACGAAGATACCGTGGATAGAGAAGGTTAAAAGTGAAGAGGTATTAGAAAGAATAGAAGAACAGAGACTTCTATCTGTGGAAGTGAATAAGAATTAGGCGAGATAGGTTGGTAGGACACCTTCTTAGGCATGAAGGTCTAGTTCGAGACATATTAGAGGCAGAAACGGAAGTTAGGAGGAGTAAAGGTAGACCTAGATTAGATTACTGTTCGCAAATACTTAAGGATTTTTTAAGGTTGTTCTAGTTTTAGGGAAAAGCGAAGATTAGCTCAGGATAGGAAAGTGTGGAGGTACGTGTCCAACCAGTCTTAGGACTGTCGAACTTATAATGATGAATAAAAAACAGGCCTAATTTACAATAATTAAACGTAATTAGATGTACACAATTTTCGTTTTTTGTTCATATTTCCAATTTTGAAAACAAGAACTGTATTTTCACTAATATATCTAGATAAGCAAACTCTTTATATTATAATATGTGATCTACGTTTTTCATGCAACAAACGTAATAATCAAACTACCCGATATATGTTTTTTGACTGTTGATCCCTCCTGAAAAGAATTCTTAACTACGCGCCTGGTTGGTTGTAACTTTTAACCCTTTAGTTGTTGGAAACTTGCTTCCAAATTATCCGTTCCCGCTAGGTAATTTCTAAACGATGTGTACAAAGAATTTCAGTTATTTCATGAATTCAGCATTTAGTTGATCCTTTTAATGAAAGTAGCAAAAATAGATTAGGGAGAGAAATTGCTTTGCCTCTGTAGGTAAATATTAAACACGACTACAGAACCCCACGTTTACTAACTTACCATATTAACTAAAATATTTACTTTAATATTTTATCCAAATAAATAGCACAAGCTCGAATCTCTTTCTCCATTTCTTGGTCCTTGTCGTAATGTGATATATTCATTTTTAATCCTTTATTGGTACATCGAACGGTAGTAGTCGAAAGAATGTATTTAAGCATTTTAAAATGGGCACATGCAAAGCACGTTAAACTAATGAAAAATCCATTCGAAGCTAAAATACACAAATATTTATATGTNTAACAGTATTTTAAACATCAGTATTGGGTATTCTGGGAAGGTTATGAAGATAAAGTACTGAATCTCGTTCTTCGTATTTTGGTTGATTATATAGGGAAAAAATGTCCTTTTTGATCGTATTTTCTCCGGCTGATGGACCTAAGTGCATTTATTATTTGTGTTTTTTTTATTATGGATTATTTTTACATTCGGGAATTGCATCTTAAGATTTAAATCTTCAGATTAACGAAGTAACGCTTCTTCTTGGAAAGTTAAGTTAAGAAAAAGCTTGAACTCAAAAAACAGCAAAACAGTTTGGGTTTGGTTTCTTCAGACTAAAAATACAAAGAAGAGCTGTATTTATTTTCAATTTTGAAGCAGCAGAAGGGTTAAAGGGTGAAATGTATGGAAGAAAATAATAAAGCTGAAAATAATGGAGAAGAAGCAAAGAAAAATTGGATTTACAAAGGAAGAGTAGAGGACTGAAATAAAAAAAGAAAAGCAAGTTAGTTCAAAAGAAGGAAAGAAAGATTTGAAAAGAAAAAATATAATAAAGCTTAATAAGGAGATTGAAAAATTAGATAGAGTAATGCAAATGTAAGAGGATATAGAGGGGGAAAAATAAAAAGAAAATGTAAAGAAAATGAGGAGAAACAAAGCAGAAGAGAATTGCAAGAAGAAGAAGATAGAAAGAATTGGAATAGAAGATGGGGGTAAATCCAGGAAGAAAATAAAAGTATAAAAGAGAAGATGGAAGAAAGAGAAAAAGAAACAAGTGAAAAAGTAAAGAAGTTCGAAGAAGAAAAACTGGATAAGAGTGATGAAGAACGGCGTAAGGACATATTTACAATAGGAAAGGACAATTTAAAAGAAGAAGTGAAAGAGATGGTATTGGAGGATTTGAAAATAGAAAAGCGGGTGGAGAAGCATGTGGAAGATCGGAAGAAAAGAATAAGGAGAAGGGAAATAGAATTATAAGAGAAAAGAAGAGAAGAAAAGAAACGAAACATAATAACTTTTGGAATAGAGTTAGCAGAGAACAAAGAAAAGACGGATTTAGAAAGGGTGATAAAAGAGAAGATGGGATTGAAGGTGAGGGTAGTGGAGGTATTATGGAAGCTTCAGAAGAAAATATATAGGGCAAAGATGGAAAATGGGAAGATAAGAAATGGTAGAAGGTTAAGGGCAGATATATATATATGACATGACCATAGAAGAGAGAAGAATGCAGAAGATGCTAGAGGGAAAGGTAAAACAAGAAAAACAAAGAAATGGAGAGAAGACAATCAAGGTTGGATATAAAAAAATAATAATAGATGGGGTAATGTGGGTATGGGATGAAAATGAGATAGACTTGTTAAAAAAAAAAAGGAAAATGGCATTTTGTGAAAGAATATTAAGGGGTTAGTTCGGAACGTGACAGGGATAAAGAACAAAGGTGATACTGTTTTTATATTACAAGAAACGTCGGGATCATTTAACCCTGTTTTACTATGAAGGAAATTAAAAACTTTTCTTTAAGGTCCATTGCCGGGAATTGCCTTTATCATTGAGCAGAGAAAGAAATGTATAGCGGTGGGAAATGTACTGGATGCAAAATGTCCTGGACTCTTAGATATATATATATAATAAA